GACTTCAAACTACTATGGCCCAACTATTTGTCATATTCGATCCCCTTCACAGTACTCATCTAACCTTTTTTATGCCTTTGTGTCTGTCTGTCTTACATCTGTGAATCACTCTTCTGTTCCCCCTCTCGACTTTTTGTCACTTTGATATTCCTTCTCCTCTCTGTGAAGCCCCGAAGTCAGCTCCAGGGCTAATGATAACTATCAAAACGCCTGCCATTTGATATAAATAAATAATTTAGAGATATCTCACCACAAAATACTACCATAATAATCTGGCAATATAATGTAGGCACCCCTTTTATGTACGAAATCACACAAAGGGTAACAGAACACCAATAACCAAAGTAGTTCAATCCACAGTCCAGTTCTCACACCTTCTCGAGATTCATTGCTCTTTTCACTAAACGCAACATGTAATCAACTAGACGCAGCCCTATCTTGCAAGGTGAAGAAGAGCAGAACCCGCTCTCTGAGCTCCGCGAGACCCAACCAAACCACATTCCTCGATAGATACTTAGTTACCTTCAAGTTACTAAGCAATAACAAACGCTATAAAATAGGCTAAGGTCATCATCAACAACAATTTATGGTACGGTTCATGAGGATACTGCTTAGAAAGATCCATACTTTTCAAAATAGCTTAATTTCAAATACGCAAAAAAATATTGCTAACGTATCAACCCGATAACCGTGCATTTGAAATTTGCAAGTAGAGTACAATGGCATCTAACCAAACTAGAGATAACTGGCATACGTTAAGCTGAAAAATTCATGCAAAAAAGAGAACAGACTTACACAGGTAGACATGAGCCAAATTATTACTTGCCAACGTGTAATAAGTGATGAGGCGAGCATTTCGTTGGTTGGATGGATATTGGAGACTATAAAGCGTATCAGGTTGTAACGTTGGGGCTCCCTTTCCGGAGAGGAAAAAAATTTTGTCTACAAAATAGAGACCAACAGCGTTAACAAGATAAAAAAAGTAATTCAGTGTAGCTATCCAGAGCACGCTTATACAGCATAAGAGATAATATTCTCAAAACCCAGATTAATTTATCCAATAATTAAGGTGACTAAACCCAACGAACTGTTAACGACGCACAAGATCATGATCTTCTATCAATGAAAAGCATGACCGTACATACTTGTAAACTAAAGGCATATTCAATCCATCATAGTGTCAGTTGTGTAGTGGTAAGAGATAAATGATTCAACGTTTCGCGATGCATGTCCAAATGATTCGAGAATAGCCGACAGTGAGCTTAATTGGAGATCACCTGATGCTAATTACGTCAAAGATGAGTGTCGATAATGACTCGCTTAAATAATGTACCTCTATCAAAGGAAAGGTCACGATAGTGATAATTACTGGTACAAATCCAGTTTAATGGATTATCAATATAAAATAGATGTCAGGAAGCCCCTTCCACAAAATGAAGCCCATAAGAAAAGTCTTAATAACCACCTTCTTTATTAGATTTTAGAAGTTCCTCTCCTCCATCGTGGTGAAACACACACACACACACACACACACACACACACATATATATATATATATATATATATATATATAACAAAGAAAGAAGTGTTTCAATTAATAAGCACCTTTAGAATCATAGAGAAATCATTGACATAAAAAAACTAAGTAAATTTAAAGTTTATTGAAGTGAAGTGTTTACAGCCATACGTCTAAGGATTTTTAATGAAAGGGCCGATAAATACAAAAACACTTTCATTTATTCTTGAATTTCAATTTTTAAATTGTCCACTCATAAAAGAGTGAGTGGTGGCAGGGAAGTCAGACGGTAAAAGTTATGATATACAGTTAGCCAAAATTATTTATTCAAATGGCAGGCGTCTTGATGGTTATCATTAGCCCTTTAATTGACTTCAGGCTTCACATAGGGGAAGGAACATTAAATTGAAAAAAGTCGAGAGGGGAGGAACAGAATAGTGTTTCAAAGATGTAAGAGACAAACACAAAGGTAGAAAAAAGGTGAGGTGAGTACTGTGGAAGTAGTCGAATATGGTATAGAGTGAGGTGATTGTAGTTTGAAGTGAGAAGTCAACTGCCAGTTAACAGACTCTTCTGCCGTATGAATATACGTTGCCCAGGGTGCACCACGTGGAGGTAAGTCTATCGCACACCCCAGTTTGCCAAAATAAACTCGATCATAATTGAATTAGTGCACTTGGCCTATTACACTACCGAGGAAGCTGTTTCTGGTTATGACCAATCAAAAGTGACATTATCTAATCCGTATTATCAATTATATATAATCTAAAAGCATATCTCCCAATTCCGAAACACTTCTCCCTGAATGAAATAATATCGGGAATGCAAAAAATTCAGAGAGTTAGAATGCTAACTTTGCAAATGTTAATCATAAAGAAATTTTGGAATACTCCATTGTCACACGTATAAGATACTTTAAAACCTTGAGTTACAATAATAAATTAAGGAAAGAAAAATACTTGATTAACTTACAGTAAACATTTCTTGATATCTCCTGGTGGGGAAATGTGGAGCAACATGAACGCATTGGAGCATAAAATGAATATACTTTTCCATTTCGAAGGAGATTAAGAAGTTGTTCATAGAGGGATTCGTGGCATTTAGGAGAATCTCAGAAACACCTGAAATAAGAAAAAGATGGAATGCACATCTCCTCAAAAATATCTACCATCAATACAACAGTGAAACTAACTTTTATTTGTATTTAAAGCAGACAAATCGTTGAACATATCATTCCAGAGTTTTTGAAATGGTGGAAGTCCAGAAACAATATAGAGCATTCGTATAAATTCTCGCCCAAAACAACATTGATCGTACTAATATTACAAAAAGAAAGATGAGAAAATTGAAGAAAAGATAAACATACATTGGACCGAATCAGATCAACGACAAACTTTGACTCTCTCTGGAACAGGTTCTGCATAATTAATTGGCGAGTTGGAGGCGGAAGTTGGGTTATATAGGGATTAGTATCACTATGATGATCAGGTATAATACGGAGGAAATGAAAGATTGCATATTGCAGGAGATTTTGCTTGCGATCCGTTACTAAAGATTCTCTAACAAAAAAAACGATACACAGAAAAGTGACAGTTACCTATACTTGATACAAAGATCTAGCACCGACTGAGCAAGCCATAAATTTTGCTGACTTAAATCACCAGCTAAAATAAATGTTAGGGATGAAATTTAGCTCATACAATTTATTCTTCGAAGTAAATGCATCATTAATAAGTCTATGTTAGCACCTCGGGTAGCAAATAACTCATCAACTACATTAAGCGCGTTTTTCTGAACTTCAGGCTGAAACTTTGGCCAAACTTCAGCAATAAGACGAGTTATTTCTGACAAGATATAGATGAGATTATCTCTGGATATCAAAATAATATCTTGCATAGCCCATTTGGTTGCCGTTGAATCAGTAAGCGCGAGGAACATAAGACCAACTTGCAATCGCTTTATATCATCCTCTGTTCCTTTGAGATTCACCTAAGACGAAAATTAATAGCATAATTAGTTTTACCGATGAATTAACGACATTTGACTCTGTTTCTTTGATTTTCTTGACTTCTGCAGCGGCATTCTCAAATATCTAATGCAGTTATTATAAGAATATATGTATATACCGTTAAATAAGGTGGCAAGGCTTCAATTGGGGATAAATTTAATAATTTATTAGGGGCCTGCGAAACATCTGCCATCGCAAACTCTTGATCAAATAGGCAATGCGCAATTCACAGCGAAACAAACCACCCCAGCCAATTGGGAACAGGACAAATAATTCTCAAGGACAGTCTGTTAAATGACTCAATTCATTTTATATGATCTCAAGCAATTTGCCTAAGACAGTTTTACTTACAAAATTACGACTTTAATTGATTTTTTAAGTAAATAAGTGCATTTTTATCTATATTTAATTAACTGAATTGCTTACTCTCAAGGCCGTGAAAATTGGAAAGTTTTGGAGGTTGAAAATGTCTGACTATTATGTTAACGAGACGAAAATTTCAATCAATCTAAAATAATTTCCTCGTCATTTTCCTTTGTGCTTTTTATTTAAGGTAAACTTTGAAGAATAAATAATCTTATATATTATACTTTGGAATATAGATATGGGACTTTCCGGTTACCTTTTAAATAGTTGTTATTATTTTATCGTCCTTTAGTGTTCAGTAGGTAGCGCATTCCAATGTTTTATTTTAATATGGCAGAGGGCGGGGTGAATAGTGAAAGTCAATACTTATCGTTATTCGCATTAGAATTAAACGATGACCGTTCAAACAAATTCGGTGCTGAATAATCATGGAAATGAAAATGATCCCTATCCATTTTTAACACAACTCATATATGATCCAACATTTGTCAATATGGCATGTCGTTTCTCTTCTTTGCTTGTTGAGCTGTTGGGTCATAACTCGTTTTATTGTGGAATAGTGTGTTTTTCAAAAATTATTTATCACTACCAGTATTTTAGTCAAATTATATCATTATTGTTAATCAAGGTTTAAGAAATAATACTGAATTCATTTTGAATTGAATTTTTAAATTCAATACAGGATACGTTAATCGACGTACCTCAATATCTCAACCGAAAAAATATCTAGTTAATAGTTTCTTCGAATGGGAATCGTGTACAACTTGCAATTACTGGTTAGTGATCATACATTTGGTTTACATTCTTAACTAGATTGGGAGTAATTTGACGCCTCTGGTTATTCGGTCATTTGAAACATTTACAATGTGTTAAGTGATTAAAAAGTTAGAGAATCTGTCTTAAATAATTTCTTTAGCGTAAAACAGACGAGAGGCCTGTCTCATAGCTAATTAGCCGAAGTTAGCGGGTCGTAGGGTGTCGTAAGTGTACGAATGAAGTTTTAATTGCGGTAGTTAGACAAGTGTCATACACTATTGTGGAAATTGTCAATTAAAAAGGAACTAGATTGTTTTATTTCAGTTACATTATTTTCTTATATAATAATCAAATGCGTTACACCAATTGACCTTATAAAGGCGCTCAGGAGCCCAAGGGAATACTTGGTAATGCAACAGTTTGTTCATAATAGTCGGGAAAGAATGTCTGAGGGTTGGGCTGACTCATCACTTTCAACTGACGCACTTGAAAGTAAACGACTGCCCTTAATTTGGAAGCAAAATCGTTGCACGCAAATGCATTAAAGAACCCCCCTCCCCTCAAACTTATTTTAACTCTCCCCTCTCTCAGTTTGCCGTGACTCAGAGAATGAGATATTCGGCATTCTGACTGTGACAAGCCCTTTGTTAATGAATTTCAAGAATTTCATAAACTTCCTTTCCAAAATACTGTGTATTACATATGATTTCACCTCCTTATCAGCTCAAATTTTGGCAGATCAAAAGCCTTATTGGATAAAATTCCGCATATGTACTGAAAATGTTAAAAATGCACTTAACTGGAAGACTTTTAAGTACAAGATTGAAGTATTTGGAATCATGTTATAAAAACTAAGGAGAAAGTACAAATGAGGCGGTTTTGAAATGCAAAAAGTCGATTCCTGATAAAATGTCAGAATCTGTTTAAATTAACCCTAATTTTACATTTATTCCTCTTTTGAAGAGTCATATAATTATTAAAAAGAACATATGATAGCGATATCAGAACATTGTTTGTTTTGAGTGACAAAAGAAAAGCATTTTTGATATGCCTCATAATTTGAATACCTGGAGAAAAGATTAATCGATGAACCGTTTGTACCCTTTATGTGTTAATAACCGGTTTTTTTTCAAATGTAAGCTACTTGAGTGATTATTGAAGACATACTAAATGGAAGGCAGAGGCCGGTGTAGAATGGGGCTGCGAATCAGTTACCTGCTACTCGCTTGGACTTTTAACAAGTCGAGGAAGTGGTTGATTGGATTCGCACAACGCGCTTTACGAGTAGTATTATTGGAATTTGATTGAGTAAAGCGTTTCTACATTTTAAGGTTTCGGAAATTATTTAACCAAATTGACCGTCATTTTTTAAATAAGATATGCTTACGTTGAAGGCTTGAAGTTACAAT